AAGGCTGAAGCTCTACCACTTGAGCCATAGCTCTACTTCCAGCTTTTTGGGTGCTTAATTGCAGATAAGACTTTTCCTGCCTGGGCTGGCTTTGAACCCCAATCTTCAGAACTGAGCCTCCCAAGTAGCTTGGATTATAAAAGTGAGCCATGGACGCCAGTTCTGAACGGCATCCTTTCTGGGAGTGTAAAGGCCTCAGCCTTCGGGAAGTCCAGAGCCTAGCGGGGCAAGACGAGGGCCCAGGGACAGGCAGACATGGTCTGTCTAGCTGAAGGCACCATGGAGACTGCCCGGAGCAGGAGAGCTGTCTTGGAATGAGACAATAAGAAAAGTTGGGGCCAAGTGAGCCACTCGGGCTAAGTGGGCAGCATCTCACTCAGAGGCAGCCGGAGGGGCTGATCCCTGCCTGGATGCTAGTTTGACAGGGACAGAGATGGACGGATCACAGTGGCAGAGCTGCGGGAGGCAGCACCGGCTCTTCTCGGAGAGCCGCTGCAGGGGACTGAGCTGGATGAGATGCTCCGAGACATGGACCTCAACGGGGATGGCACCATAGACTTTGACGGTGAGCCGCTGCCCGCCAGCCCCTGCCCCAGCTCTCCAGCACCAGGTCCAGCTTTGCCTGGGATTTTTGACGTAGATGACCCTGAGCTCTTGTCTTCTCTTTCTCTCTCCCTTCCCCCCCTCTCAGAGTTTGTGATGATGTTGTCTGCTCCCTGAGGTGCCAGCAGCAAGAACCAGATCTCCTGAGACTCAGACACCAGCAGGACCTGCTCAAGGAGACCCAGTCACGCTAGGCTGCTTCTTACTTTTGACAGCACTGGCGGATAGTCAGCCTGGGAAAGTCCCCCACCCACCTTCCCTGTCCTCCCTCCCCCAGCTGCCACTCGAATCCTTCTGCACCCTAGGAACACAGCAGGTTCCTGGCGCTAAAAATGCAGACAGATAGACTCTACCCATAGATTTTTTTCTTGGGAAGTAAGCTTACATCCCCATTCAAACGTTGTTAATTTTTGATATCTGCTACAAATCCAATTTGTCTTGGAACTGAGACTGACTTCATTTATTTATTTATTTGTTTGTTTTTTTTTGTCGGTCTTGGGGCTTTAACTCGGCAGGAATGCTGTCCCTCCGCTCTTCTGCTCAAGGCTAGCACTCTACCACTTTAGCCACTGAGCCACTTCCGGTTTTCTGGTGGTTTATTGGAGATAAGAGTCTCACAGATTTTCCTGACTGGGCTGGCTTCAAACCATGATCTTCAGATCTCAGCCTCCTGAGTAGCTAGGATTATAGGTATGAGCCACTGGCACCTGGCTTATTTTTTATTTTTGGTGCCTGTTCTGGGGCATGTACTTAAAGAGCTGAGTACTGTCCCTGAGCTTTTGTGTGCAAGTCTATTGCTCTACCACTTTGAGCTACAGCTCCATTTCTGGCTTTTTGCTGGTTAATTGGAGAGCAGAGTCTCATAGACTTTCCTGCCTGGGCTGACTTTGAACTGCAATCCTCAGGTCTCAGCCTCCTGAGTAGCTAGGATTACAGGCATGAGCTACCTGTGCCCAGCCAAAAGGACAGTTTTGTTGTTTTGTTTTTTGTCCATCATGGGGCTTGAACTATGGGCCTGGGCGCTGTCCCTGAGCTCTTCAGCTAAAGGCAAGCACTCACCACTTGAGCCACAGTACCACTTCTGGTTTTCTGGTGGTTAATTGGAGATAAGAGTCTCACGAACTTTCCTGCCTTGGCTAGCTTTGAACTGTGATCCTCAGATCTCAGCCTCCTGAGTAGCTAGGATTACAGGTGTGAGCCACCAGCGCCTGGCAAAAGGACAGTTCCTTCCTTCCTTCCTTCTTCTCTCTCTCTCTCTCTCTCCTTTCTTTCTTTGACTCAGTGCCTTGTGCTTTCCACTTCGCTTGCTTACTCATGACTGGCAATCTACCACTTGAGCCATATCTCAAACCTCATTTTTTGCTGGTTATTAGAGATAGAATTTTGTGTCCTTTTTTGCCCACACTGGTCTCAAACCTCCATCCTCCAATCTCAGCTCCTGAGTAGCTAAGATTATAGATGTGAACCAGTGTTTTTACCTTCTGTTTTAATGTTTTCTATGCAGTTTCTCTTTGCTTTTTTTTTTCTTTCCCAGACTTGCACTGATTCAGTTAGGAATTCTCCTTTTCCCCACTTTCCTCCAGGTGTTCTCCCTCTGCTCCCCCAATATTGGGGGTTGAACTCAGGCACTGCACTTAAGCAAGCACTCTACCAGTTGAATCGTACTCCCTGCCTGTCTTCCTCTGTTGATTTGACTTTTGAATGAAACATTCTAACTGTTGTATTAATGGCAACCCTTATAATGAAGTCTAAAGTTAATCAATAAGCAGAAGAGCAGATATGTAGATTCTTCCCTATTGCTGAGTCCAGGATACAGGAGACACACTCAGAATGCAATGACAACTAGAGGCTGAACGTGATGGCTGAGAGCAGACTTCTTAGAAAATTTAAGGAAAGCTGTGTTAGTGCAGAAATAGTGGCCCACAATGGATTACGGATCAAGGTGAATTGAGTCACAATTCACTAAGGAAATCTGCGTGCTCCTAATTATACGTCTTCCGGCCAAGGAGACATATGGTATTTATTTGGAGTCTAGGGTCTCCATCATTTTCTGAGAAATGTTGCTGTCAATGTGATCTAGATTAGATAAACACACAAGCAAAAGCCAGACTCTGGATTGGGAATGTACCTCAGGGGTAAACTGCTTGTTTAGCATGTACCAGGACCTAGCTTTTTTCTTTTTTTCTGTCTTTTTTCTTTTTGGTAGTCTTGGGGCTTGAACTCAGGGCCTGGGCAGTGTCCTGGAGTTTCTTTTTGCTCAGGGCTAGCACTCTACCACTTGAGCTACAGTACCTCTTTTGGCTTTCTCTTTGTATGTGGTACTGAGGAATCAAACCCAGTGCTTCATGCATGCGAGGCAAGCACTCTACCACTAAGCCACATTCCCAGCCCTATTGCTCACTTACTCATTTTTTTTTTGTCGGTCATGGGCTTGAAGTCTGGGCCTGAGCTCTGTCCCTGAGCTCTTCAGCTCAGGCTAGCGCTCGACCACTTGAGCCACAGTGCCACTTCTGGTTTTCTGGTGGTTATTGGAGATAAGTCTCATGGACTTTCCTGCCCGGGCTGGCTTTGAACTGTATCCTCAGATCTCAACCTCCTGAGTAGCTAGGATTACAGGCGTGAGACACCGGCACCCGGCGTATTGCTCATTTCTTAATGAACCATTTTGGTAATGTTTCCATTTTTGGTGTTTGTTCTGATCATATTTATTGAAAGGAATATACTGTGTACTTGGATTTGGTGTATCTTTTTGTTTCACTCTTCTAGTTTTTATTTTATCTAATAAAAGTATTGTAAACCCTTCATTCCTTGTCACAGCTAGTAGGAGGGGGCGGTTAAGGAGTTCCTGCATCAAAGGGGGCCCCCTAAGTGTTTTGATGGGGGTGTGAGGGAAGCAGGGCTGGGCAGGCCAGGGTGTAGCAGCAGGGGTGGGGGCGTCTGTCCACTCAGCAATAGCACAAGGGCTGGGAAGGTGGCTGAGTGGTAGAGTGCCTGCCTAGCATGCATGAAGCCCAAGGTTCCATTCCTCAGTACCACATGCACAGAAAAAGCCAAGAATGGCACTGTGGCACAGCGCTAGCCTTGAACAAAAAAGAAGCTCAGGAACAGTGCCCAGGCCCTGAGTTCAAGCCCCAGGACTGGCAACAACAAAAAAAATCATGACTTTCGCCAGGTGCCAGTGGCTCACGCCTATAATCCTAACTACTCAGGAGGCTGAGATCTGAGGATCTTGGTTCAAAGCCAGCCCAGGCAGCAAAGTCTGTGAGACTCTTATCTCCAATAAACCACCAGAAAACTGGAAGTGGCACTGTGGCTCAAGTGGTAGAGCACTCACCTTGAGCTGAAGAGTGCAGGGACAGCGCTCAAGCCCAGAGTTCAAGCCCCACAACCGACAAAAAAAAAAAAAAAAGAGAGAGAGAAATAAACAACAGCACAAGACACCATGGTGCTCAGTGTCCTAGTGCTGTGGACTTGCAGGGGGAGAGTCCTCTTTTAAGGGTGCTGACATTTTAGTCAGAAGAACAGACTCCTCATTCAGTGGGACCTTTGACAGCTTGGTTTCCCCCTCCTTGCTTTTCCCCACAGTCATGGAAAGGACCTGGTCTGGTGCTGGAACCCCTCGGTTATGGTTCTGAGTGCGGGCAATCTGCAGGTGGGTCTTGGGTGGGTCAGCTCTCCTCTGTAAAACGGGGTGGCAGCAGTGAGGACTTCACCACCTGACCCAGGTCCGGTGCTCAACAGCGGTCTGGTGCCTTAGCCCTAAGAGCTTGGCAAATAGGAGCTATTATGAGCTCAGATTTCAGTCTTCTCAGAGATTGTGTGTCAGTCCCCAAGATTCCAAGATGTTCTGATTTTCCAAAGTCCTGATTTTTTTTTTTTTTTGAGATGGTCTTTCTAAGTGCCTTGTGGGTCAAAGAGTCTTTAGTTCCTAAGGCTCCTGTCAGGAGGCCTGCCTCCCACATCCTCTGTCCCCTAGTTCTCCCAAACTCTGCTTGGGAAGTAGGGCATGGAAGGAGGGGCGGGGCCGCTGCCTTCACATGGCCCACATTTGCGGCCGGCTGTGGCAGCCCAGGGCCCCAGAGCCAGGCGGGATCCAGAATACCAGCCTCCAGGCCCCAATCCTGCGTCATCTCTGAGTCTCTGGGCCAGGGCTTCTAGAATGGGCTCTGGCTGAGTCTGCTGAGAGATGGGGCAGAGAGGCTAGGACACTTCTTCCAGACCCAGATCTGGCCCTCAACATTAGTGTCCTTGGGCAAATCTCTGAGCCCCAAGATTGTTGTGCATATAATGGGCGATCGATGGTCTCCAAGGCTGTCAGCCCCAGGTGGGGCCTTTTCTCAGCCTTGTGGGAAAAAGTTGTAGTCAGGCCAGGAAGGCACAAACATCCCTTTCTGGGCTCATTACCTTTTTATTAGCACAAAATACCACCAACCCTGCAGCCTGTGGGCCCAGGCATAAGTTAAGCATTGGGCAGGCGAGGGGCAACGTTCCCAAGGCCGGGCCGGCAAGCCCCAAACTTCCTGAGCCAACTCCGGAGGGGGCCGGGCTGCCAGGGTCCTGAGGGCCTCTTCCCCTGAGGTGAGGGGAGGGAGCGGAGCGCCGGTCGGTGGAGCACCCGCCCCGTCCACGCGAGGCCGCGGCTCAGGGCCTTGGCCGCAGGTGTCCGAAGGTCCCCCGGCGGCTCACTTGTCGAAGTAGGGCAGGTAGAAGAAGTGGAAGCCCCGGCGGCCCTGGACCGCGCAGTAGATGAAGATCACGTGGTACACTGCGGGGCGGGGCTGTCAGCACGAGGCCCCGCCCCGGCCCCGCCCCTCCGCGCCAGGCCCCGCCCCGCCCGGGCCGGGCCCCGCTCACCTCCCGGGACCAGCAGCAGGAAGCCCGGCACGAAGAAGATGGCGCTGGAGACACCTGCGGAGGAAGATGGGCGCTGACTGCCTGGCCAAGCCTCCTCCGCCGAAAACAGGGCTGAGTCCTGCTGGGAGGGGGGAAGGCTTGCCCAGGGCCCCTGGGCACAAGGAGGGGCGCTCACCTGGAGAGGGGGCCACCTCCAGTCCCACGCCGACCAAGATGAGCACTGCACACAGACGGGCCCGGGGAGGTGAGGGCGGAGCCTCCCGCCCCCCCACCGACCCCCAGCCAGGCTACGGTCCCGGGGTGGCGGTCCCCACCTAACCTGGATGCCAGGCGGAGACCCTCCCCAGGAAGCTCACTCAGCTGCTTTCAGAGCTGGGCACTTGGTGGGCCCTGGAAAACGTCTGTGAAATGGGAGATCTTTATCTGCTCCTTGGTGTGGCCTTTCAGTCATTTAATGAACACTTAATACTTCCTGCATGCCCGGTGCCCACAAAGCCGGGGTGAAAGAAGGGCCTTGCCATCTTGGCCCTTCCTTAATGGAGGGACAGACAAGAACCTGAAAGTGGGCTTGCTGTGCAGCCCAAGTGGTGGAGTGCCTGTCTAGAAAAGCACAAGGCCCTGGTTTCAAACTCCACTACACCCAAAACCAAAGGAACCAGGGCTCCCCCTAAAACTATAACCTAAACTAGGTGCCAGTGGCCCAGTCTGTAAACCTACTCAGAAAGCTGAGATCTGAGGACTGCAGTTCAAAGCCAATGCCTGCCCCGGCAGGCTTATTTCCAATTATTTGGAAAGCCATAAATGGAGCTGTGGCTCAAGTGGTAGAGCTCGAACCTTGTGCACAAAAGCCCAGGAACAGCTCCCAGGTTCTGAGTTCAAACCCTAGAACCAGCACACACACACTTACACACAAACACAAGCTACAACCCAGGGAGGGTGGGGGTGAGAACAGAGCTGTGTGGAAGCCTAGAGCAGTAGCCCTGTGCCAGCCTGGGGACCAGGGAGAGCAGTCCTGGAGGCAGTGACAGCTAAGCTGAGCAGAGGTGAAATTGCAGCAGTTGGAAGTGGCACTGTGGCTCAAAGTGGTAGAGCAATAGCCTTGAGCAAAAAGAGCTCAGCTGAGTGCAAGCCTCATGACGGACAAAAAAAGATGATCTATCTCTAAACATATAGTCTATAGATATATAGATATTTATATCTATAGATATATCTGTAGATATCTATATCTGTATCTATAGTATGTCTATATAGTATATCTATAGTCTATAGATATAGTATATCTACAGATAGATCGATAGATGGATATCATCTTACTTTGCTGGGCACTGGTGGCTCATGAGGCCTATAATCCTAGCTACTCAGGAGGTTTGAGATCTAAGAATCACTGTTTAAAGCCAGCTGGGGCAGGAAAGTCCATGAGACTCCAATTAGCCACCAGAAAACCAGAAGTGGTTGCTGTGGCTCAAAGTAGTAGGGCAAAAGAGCTCAGAGACAGTGCATAGGCCCTGAGTTCCAGCCCCATGACTGATCACTCCCCTCCCCCCAAAAAGGAAAGAAACAGCAGCAGTTCACGTATGGAGCACTTCCGATGTGCTCCAGACAATGGCTAGGTGAGTTCCATCACTGCCTTGTCACTCTGATGGAATGGGAAGTCACCTGCCCACGGCTGCAGTTGGAAGGTGAAAACTGGCTGTAGAGGCTTTGCTGTGGGCATTGTTCAGGCAGAGAAAGAATTCCAGGCTGAGGGAACAGCACTACAAATGCTAAGTCTGGCTGAGAGCTGCCAACCTTGGGCAAGACTGCCCAAGAGCCCAGCTGGAGGACTCTGGTAGGGACTGTGGCCCCTGGCAGGGATGTTGTCTTTGGCTGACAATGGGTGATAGACAAGATGGACAGGTTATGGCTGGATCTACTTTTTCAGATCCAGAGTCCTAGTTGGAGGGGCAATGGGGCAAGTTTTGCGTGAACAATACAGTCTGGGCCACAGTGTGCTGCCGTCTGTTTCCTGTACTGCAGAGAGCACCTCAAAAAGGGGCACAAACTCCCTCCCTGCCCTCTTGCTTATGGCTGCAGGCTCTGCCCTCCCAGAGGAGCCATCTTTTCCTAATTCCCTGCGAATCCTTTATGAGACCTTGGTGGGTCCCACATGTGGGTTTATTCCTGCTTGTCTGCTTCCAGACTCAAGCAAGCCCCTTCACCGGCCTAAGTCTATGCTGCCAGGCTGCTAGAGATGCTTGTCTCACCAGCAGACAGGGCCATAATGACTGGCACCACAGCTTCTTCTTCTGCTCAGGCTATTGGGCTTGGCAGAGACTTTGACCTCCCTGGAGTGGGGAGGGGGCAGCAGCCATAACTGGTCCCTCTTTAGGGACTCCTGACTCAGCCCCTCAGAATGAGGAGCCTGGGAGTCAGAAATATCTAGCAGTGAGATGTACCTGCTCAGGGCCTTGGTTTTCCTCATTTGAGCAATGGGAATGGAATGAGATCCTCTGAGACTCCAAAGAAGAAGAAGTGATACTCATGTAACTGTAACCCCTCTGTACATATCTACAAAAAAAGTGACAGGGGCCGGGCACCGGTGGCTCACGCCTGTCATCCTAGCTACTCAGGAGGCTGAGATCTGAGGATCGAGGTTCAAAGCCAGCCCGGGCAGGAGAGACCGTGAGACTCCTATCTCCAATAAACCACTAGAAAACCGGAAGTGGTGCTGTAGCTCAAGTGGTAGAGCGCTCGCCTTGAGCTGAAGAGCTGAGGGACAAGTGCCCAGGCCCAGAGTTCAAGCCCCACAACCGCAAAAAAAAAAAAAAAAAAAAAAGTGACAGGAGCCCCTGGATGGGGTGGCTGGCACTCAGCATCCTTGCCACGGTAACACCTGCCCTCACACCCAGCTTTTGGATTCTGTCTCTCCCTTGCTGTGTGACCTCTGTATGGTGGGAAAATAAGCCTGCCCAATGTCAACACAAAATAAATAGCAGAGGAGAAGGAGGGAGAGGAGGAGGAGAAGAGGAGGAGCAGGAGGAAGAAGAGGAGTAGTCAAAGTCAACAGATGTTTGGAGCATCGACCCAGGTTCCATTTTCAGTCTGTGATTTCCTGGCTGGTGATCGGAATCCTGGGCCTGCCCTTCTCAAGGGCCTTCTCAAGGCCCTGGTTCCTGACAAGTAACACAGAGGACTGGACTCTGGGAGCCCAGTGTATCAAGGGGATCTGGGGGCTGTAGGTAGAGGGAAGGAGAGGCTGGGTCCTCAAGGCACTCACCTAGCCCTAGCAGCAGGAGCAGGAAGGAGGCCAGCACTACCCTGCGGTTCTTCTGGATCAAAGGGTGTTGAGTCCAGCTGGTGGCAGAAGAGCAGGATGAGGGTGAAAGAGATAAAGGGTGGGGAGCTAGGGCTGTTGGCTGGAAGGGAAGGAGGGCACTTGGAGGTTGGGGCTCAGGACAAAGAGGGTCTCACCTGCAGCAGGCATTGTAGGAGCGCTGGGTGGTGTTGCTGATGGTGCTAAAGGACCACTGGGAGCTGCGGATGGATGTTTGCCCAGAATCCCTGCAGGACACAGGGGCCCAGTGAGCAGAAGGAGAAGGAAGGGGCGTGGAATTATGATAAATGTAGGCGTGGTGCCCTGAGAGGGGGCAGGGATGAGTTCAAGTGTGTGTGTGGGGGCATCCTCAAGACTGAGTAGGGGAAACCGGGGATGAGAGCTAAGAGTTCCTGCAAGACAGGTAACCTATGGATAGACGGGGGATCAGAATAGACTGTGGTTCCCATAGGATAAAAAGCCTGATGACTCAATACTGGTGGTTCACATCTGTAATCCTAACTATTCATGAGGCTAAGACCTGGAGGATGGAGATTTGAGGCCATACCAGGCAGAAAAGTCTGGAGACTGCAGTTCCAGTTAATCAGCAGACTGGGGGTGTGGCTCAAGTAGTTGAGCACCCAGTGATCAAGAAAGCCCAACAAGAGCATAAGGCCATGAGTCCAAGCCCTGGTACTGGCATCTACACACATAAAGCCTAATGTGGTAGGTGGTTGATGTAGTGTACTGCAGTAATGTAGTCTTGGTGGACAGGAGACCCTACCAGAGTAGTGGATCTAGCAATCTTATAGAACATGGGAGAGCTGAGTTTAGTGGGTGGGGGACTGGGCAGGTCCCAGTGGACAAGGGCCAGAAGCATGGGGTTCAAGGTACAGGGTGGGTCCCCACCTGGCCCTAACCTGGTGCTGATTCCCCCATCTGGCTCTGGAGACGCCTGTGCTCCATCCTCATCATTCTCCAGGTTCTGTTCCAGAACACAGGGTTCAGTCGGGTTGCTGAGCTCAGGCCCTTGTTCATGCCCCTCTTGAGAGAGGAGACAAGCAGCCACACAGCAGTTTGTCTGGCCGCCTGGCAGCTGCTATCCTGGCCCTTCACCCTCCCAGCAGAACAAGTTTGATGATTCACAGACACCGAAACCTAGGTAGGATGTGGGTGGATGCTGGGAGTTGTAGGGACCAGGAGCTAGCAGAGGCCCCAGGAGCAAGTTAGGGAGTCCGAATGGAGCTCTCAGGATATTTCAGGAGCGAGCCACGGAGGCTGGAGATCTGGGGTGGCAGGGAAAGACAGCCCAGGGTTCCCAAATTTGGGGCACACAATCTCCTCCAGGTTGGGAAAAGAATCCCAGGAAGGAAACTAGGATTGGTGGGGGAGAAAAAGGATTTCCAGTTTAGTCGTGGGGGTCAAGGGGTGGGCGGATTCCGAGTGTGGAGCCTCCCAGCTCTGGGATGGTATGGGGATCTCTAAAACAGACAAGGGGATGCAGGTTACCCTAGATCATCTGGCCTGGGCCAAAGGGGTTACTCCACGGATGAACAAGGTCTGCTTCGGATTCAGTAGGGACCCCAAACTCAGTGGGAGTCGGGTGTCAATCTCCAGGATGGGTTAGGACTCTGTGTGCTCCCTGAGGGGTTAGCTGGTCCGAGGTCCCCGCTCTGGGTGAAGGCTGGGGACACAAATCGGAACTGGAAGCGTACAGGCAGGGCCCCGGAGCCGGGGACACGGCCAGGGGGCAGTCTCCCGCTCTGCTCGGGCCCCCAGACAGATTCTAAGCTGGGTTCTCCAGGACCCGGCCTGCAGTCCCGCCCGGTCCGGCACTGCGGGGCGGGCCGTTCACCTGGTAGCGCAGTCCGGACGGCTTGTCTTCGTCAGCCACTTCGAACCGGGGCCGGCGCTCGAAGTGCAGCGGCCCAAAGCGGGGGACCCCGCTGGACTCCGGCCCGGGCCCCGTGTCCTCCAGGGTCAGCTCGAAGGCGTCATCGATGCTGAATTGGGGCCGGGCGGTGGTCATGGCCCCCGCCCGCTCAGACGCTCCGCGCCGCCGCCATCAGCGCCGGCCGCCCGGCGATGACGACGCCCCGCCCGCCGTCAGGGCCACGCCCACCTCACTGGCCCCGCCTCGGCAAGGCCACGCCCCGTCGCCGGGGGAGTTTCTCGGGCCAGCGCTCCGGCTCCGGCCACGCCCTACGCAATGGCGACGCCTCCTGCCGCTTACGGCAGGCCAAAGCTGCTGAGCGCCGAGCTGACCTGCGGTGGTGGGACCGGGACCTGTGGGAACAGGCCTTGCCCGCGGCGCCGCCCCGCGGCTGCCTGGGCGGTCGGCAGCTGGGTCGGGCCCCAGCTCGGGCCTGCTCGCGGACCTCGCAGTCTTCCTGCCGCGACCTCCGGGGCCGACCTGGGCGTTCCAGCCCGGGCCTGGGGTGGTCTTGCCATTCTGCAGATGTGGATACTGAAGTTCTGGGTTTCGGTGACTTTCCCCGGACTCCAGTCCGGTCTGCACGCAGAAGCCAAACGTTCTTTGAAATGAGTCTTCCAGCTGGGCGCCGGTGGCACACGCCTGGAATCCCAGCTACTCAGGAGGCCGAGATCAGAGGATCACGGTTCAAAGCCAGCACAGGTAGAAAAGTCCACGAGACTCTTCTCTCCAATGAACCACCAGAAAACTGGAAGTGACGCTATGGCTCAAAATGGTAGACTGCTAGTCTTGAACCAAAAAGCTGAGCCAGAGCTCAATATGCTGAGTTCAAGCCCCAGTACTGGGAGAGAAAAAAAAAAATCTAATTGAATATTGTGGCTTACTCTTGAAATCCTAGATACTTAGAAAGTGGTTCCCAGCCAGCCTGAGCAATGAATTCCTAAAACCCCGTCTCTTTTTTCGTTTTCTTCTTTTGTGAAATTTGATCTTAATCAATAAAAACTTGGATATGGTGACACACATAACCTGTTATCCAAACTATGCTATAGGAGGAATCATGGCCCAAACCAAAATAACTAAAGCAGCTGGGCACCAGTAGCTCACACCTATAATTCTAGCTATCCAATAGGCTGAGGTCAGCTGGGCACCTGGTGGCTCACATCTGTAATCCTAGCTATTCAGGAGGCTGAGATCTGAGGATCATGGTTCAAAGCCATCCTCAGCAAGAACGTCTGTGAGACTCATCTCCAATTAACCACCAGAAAACTAGAAGTGGTGCTGTGGCTCCGGTGGTAGAGCACTAGCCTTGAGCTGAAGAGCTTGGGGACAGTGTCCAAGACAACTGACCAAAAGAAAAAAACAAAAACCCACAACTTTTTTAGGGTCTGGAAGTGTAGCTCAGAGAAAGAGCACATGTAGGCCTTGCTTTCAGATCCAATGCTAAACAAAATAATAAATAAAAATCCTGTATAAAAATTAGTATGCTGCTGAATCTGTTTAGAACCTCCTTGATTTTCCATTGTGATTAGAATCAGAACACTTGATAAGATTCTGTGAAGCCCTGAATGCTCTGCAGCCCATCTGCCTTTTCCACATTCACTCTGTAGCCCCTTTTCACTCTACTTAACCTCACTGAATTTCTTAGTTTTCCTGCAGAGGCAAAGCTCAGTCCTACCTTAGGGCCTTAGAACATGCTCTTCCTCCTGTACCTGAAAACACTTAACTTTGCTCTTCTCACACTATACCACCTACAATCAATTTCACATTACCTGAAACACTTACCTGAAATTACTTTATTTTCTGTTGTTTTATTCACCTCTGAATCTACAGTGCCCAGAAAAGTGTTCGGCACTAAGTAGATGCTCAGTAAACAGTTGTGACTGAGCCAGGGCATCCTGCCTGGATCATACTCCTGTTGGCATTGTCTTCTAAGTGGATGTATTTGCAATTTTTAATTATTTTTTATTATTATGAAGGTCACGTACAGAGGGGTTACTGCGTCATACATTGGGTAATGAGTGCATTTCTTTTCGGACAATGTCACCACTTTCCTTGCTGTCTCCCAGTTTTTCCCTCCCATCCCTGCCCACAAGTTGTATAGTTCATTTTCAACAAGGTGTCCAATGAGTACCATTGCAGCATTTGTTCGCCCTTTGTCCCTCCATTTCGTTTGCAATTTATGCACATGGTGTCATGTACCAGTCTCACCGTGGTATTTCTATTTTTCCACTGGCACTCTTGTTTCTCCTAGTTTGCAAGCACTGGGCTTCCCCATTCACTCCCACATGCCACTGTAGGGAAGATCCTACCGTCTCCTATGAAAGGTGGGAAAACATCAAGACTTCCAGGTCACAGGACCTGTGCCCTTGGGAATTCACAAAGCATGGAGCTACACCCCCAAAGGTGGCCAGTGGACATCCACCCCAAGGTTCTGGCTTTCTCTTAGAGTTGGTGTTATCTAGCTCTTTTTTCTGCTCAAGGCTAACATTCTAAGTCTCCACTTCAGGCCTATTGGTGGTTAGTTGGAGATCAGGGTCTCAAGGATCTTCCTGCCCAGGTTGGCTTCAACAGAGATCCTCAGCTCTCAGCCTCTTGAGCAGCTAGGGTTACAGACCTGAGCCACTGGCTCCTGGCTCATTTTGAAGATATCATTGGCTTTCTTTTCTATTCTAGAATGGGTAACACTTGGATGCATAAAATAGGACTTATATATGTTCTAAACCCTCTTTTTCATTTCTGTGGTCTGCTTGACTATTTCTCAAGCTAAAGTCATATGCCTTTTTTTCCTTATTATTATTTTGTGAGCCAATGTCTTATTATATATCACAAACTGACTTAAAGAATCACTTGTACAGCCAGGTTTGCCTTCAACTTGTAATCTTTATGCCTCAACCTCCAGATTTCTGGGATTATAGGTATGGATTTCCTAAATATGTTATTGAGAATGTTATTTTAGTTATTTTCCCGATGCACTGGTGTTTGAACTAAGGGCCTTGAACTTGCTAGGCTGGTGCTCTACCCGTTGAGCCATACTTCCAACTCTGGCTTTTTGCTGGTTAAGCGATGTTAAGAGCCTCTCAGATTTGTCTGCTTGGGCTGGCTTGGAACCTTGACTTTTAGATCTCAGCCTCACGAATAGCTAGGATTATAGGCGTGAGCCGTAGGTGCCTGTCTTGAACTCAGGGTCTAGGTATTGTCCCTGAGCCTCTTTGTGCTCAAGGCTAGCGCTCTACCACTTATGCCACAGCACCACTTCTGTTTTGGTTGGTTAATTGGAAATAAGAATCTCATGGGCACTGTGCTGCCCAAGGTGGCTTGGAACCAAGATCCTCAGATCTTAGCCTCCTGAGTAGCTAGGATTACAGGCATGAGCCACCGGTGCCCGGCTCATCTGCAACTTTAAATGGAGTGGCACGCGGCCATGAGCGAGGACCAAAGTCCCAACCAGCTCAAAGACCCAAAAGCGAGGGTCGCCCCGGCGCGCCCCCCCTCCTCCCCTCCCTCTCTCCCCGCTCCCCGTCCCCCTCCCCGCTCCCCGTCCCCCTCCCCGCTCCCCGTCCCCCTCCCCGCTCCCCGTCCCCACCGGCTGGGCTCCGGCCCTAGGCATCCTCAGGCCCCGCCCTTGAAGATCCACGGTACCCCACGCAGCGTGGAGAACCAATCACGGCGCGCTTCCACGTTCCCGCCCCTTTTGGCTTCTGCCCTCAGACAAAATGGCGCCAGCTCGGAAGCTGCCGAGGCTCTAGGAGTTGTCGAAACAGTTCCGGAAGCTACCGAGCGAATCCGGAAGTTGCCGAAAAACAGCAGCGGGGAAGGAGGATGGCGGATATCATCGCAAGACTCCGAGAGGACGGCATCCAAAAACGTGTGATACAGGAAGGCCGAGGAGAACTCCCCAACTTTCAGGATGGAACCAAGGTTCGAGCCCACCCCTCCCTTTTTCCTCTCTGCCGCGGGATGCGCATGCGAGGCGGGAGGAGGCCCGAGGCGAGAGGTTGCGCATGCCCAGAAAGCAGCGGCCAGTGACTCTACTGCTCACGTGCGGAGCTCGACGCTGATTGGTCTGGATTTAAGTAAGGGGTAAATTCGGAAGCGTGTTCCCGCCCCCTGCCTTGCCCTTGGGTTTGTATTGGTCGCTGAGCAGGCTGTCAGGTACCAGAGCCTTAGGGGTCCGAGAGAACTGAAGTCCTGAGACCCGGAGACCAGGTTCCCCAGACCAGAAACTGTTGTCAGCTTTCCAACGAGTCTAGTCTGGGACAAATGAAGTTTTGGAAAGTGAAGAGCCATTCACTTTCCCGCTTCTTACATCCGGGTCCCCAGCCCCTTCCCCTAGGCAGCGTGCACCCCAGCTTCCCTGTTTCTGAAGTTCCTTCGAAGTGGAGATTTCTCCAAGTTGGGATTTTGTACGTAGCTAAGAGCTCCAGGGCAGCACACGAGTGCCTAGCAGTCGAGCATTCACGCGGGGAAGGTAGCTGGAGCTAGTGGGTAAAAATCCTGGTTAGTTCCAGGAAAGAGGGAAGTGTGGGCCCTGTGAATGAGTGCCTGCTCCCTGGCCAGCGCTGTGCCAGGTTGGGCTGATAGTCGTAGCCCAATCGTCTGGGAGCTGTGAGGAGCTGTGTGGTTGTAGTGTTCCGTTTTGTTAAAAGATCTCCAAGAACAGAGAGAGTGTGTGGTGGGGTACATCCCTCGCCCCCCACCTCCCGGGCTGGGAGCCCCTAACAATGGGGATTCTGGATGGAATAGAACTAGGAGACAGTGGCACAAAGGTAGAGAGATCTATGAACAGTGGCATTCAACAACAGGAAGAAAGAGTATGAAAAGGCCATCACACCAGGTGCTGGTGGTTCACACCTGTAGACTTAGCTATTCAGGAAGCTGAGATCTGAGGATCACAGTTCAAAGTCAGTCCAGGCAGGAAAGTTTAGTCTGTAAGACTCTCATCTCCAATTAACCTCCAAAAAGCTGAACATGGAGCTGTGGTTCCAGTGGTAGAGGGCTAGACTTGAGCAAAAGAAGCTCAGGGACAGAGCTCAGGCCCTGAGTCCCAATACTGGAAAACAAAACACCCAAAACGTATTGCCAGGACTGAGGGCATAGGACTGAGTGACAGAGTTCTAGTCAAGCATGTGAGGCCCTGAGTTCTATCTCTATACTGCAGCCAACCCCAAGGCC